CGAGATCGTGACCTGGCTGAAGTCGGACGCTTAACCGACTGCGCCACCCAGGCGCCCCTCTATGAGGTTTTTTAATGTTTTGTGAATAATAACCCTTTTTGAATATATGACTTGCAAGTATCTTCTTCCGTTATGTAGGTTGCCTTTTTCTTTTGTTGGTGGTTTCATTTTCTATGCAGAAGCTTTTTAATGTAGTTCCAGTTGTTTATTTTTGCTTTTGTTGCCTTTGCTTTGGTGTCAAATCCAAAGACTTGTCACCAAGACTGATGTCAAGGAGCCTATTGCCTGTATTTTCTACTAGAAGTTTTATGGTTTCAGGACTTACATTCAAGTCTTTAATGCATTTTGAGTTCATTTTTGTGTACCTTGTAAGATAGTGGTCCAAGGGTGCCTGGGTGGCTCAGTCGGTTAAGCTTCTGACTTTGGCTCAGGTCATGATCTTGCGGTTTGTGAGTTTGAGCCCCACCATCAGGCTCTGTGCTGACAGCTCAGAGCCTGGAGCCTGCTTCAAGTTCTTTGTTTCCCTTTGTCTCTGCCCCTCCCCGTCTCATGCTCTGTCTCTGTCTCTCTCTCAAAAATAAATATTCAAAAAAAGATAGTGGTCCAGTTTCATTCTTTTACATGGGGCCATCCAGTTTTCCCAACACTGTCTACATTTTTACCTATTGTGTATTCTTGCCTCCTTTCTTGTCAGTTAATTAACGGTATATGCATGGATTTATTTCTGGAGTCTCTGTTCTATTCCATTGGTCTATTTGTCTGTTTTTATGCCAGTCCCATACTGTTTTGGTAACTAGAGCTAGGTAAAATGGTTTGAAATCAAGGATCATGGTACCTCCAGGTTTGTCCTTCTTTCTCAAGATTACTTTAACTGTTTGAGATTTTTGGGGATTGCATGTACATTTTAGGATTGTTTGCACTATTTCTGTGAAAAATGTCTTTGGAATTTCTGTAGGGATTGCATTGAATCTGTAGAGAGCTTTGGGTAGTGTGGACATTTTAACAAGATTCTTCCAGTCCGTGAGCATGAATATATTTTTGTTTATTTCTGTCTTCTTCAATTTCTTTTATCAGCGTCCTGTAGTTTTTAGTATATAGGTATTTTACTTCCTTGGTTAAATTTATCTCTAGTTATTTTATTGTTTTTGACGTAATCGTAAATGAGATTGTTTTCTTAATTTCTCTTTCTGATAGTTGTTACAGTATAAAATGCAATCGATTTTTGTATACTGATTTTATATCTTGCAACTCTGTTGAATTTGTTAATGCTCACAGTTTTTGGTAGAGTCGTTGGGGTTGTCTACATATGAAATCATGTTGATTATGAATACTAAGAGTTTTACTTCTTCCTTTCCATTTTAGATGACTTTTGTTTCTTTTTCTTGCTTTATTACTCTGACTAGGACTTCCAAGGTCTGCGTTGAATAAAAGTGGAAAGAGGAGGCATCCTTGTGTTCTTTCTGATCTCAGAGAAAAACCTTTTAGCTTTTCGCTGTTAAGTATGATCTTAGCCGTGGGCTTGCCGGTTATGGCCTTTATTATGTTGAGATATATTCTTTCTTATTTAAATTCAAGTTAGTTAACATACAGAGTACTCTTGCCTTCAGGAGTAGAACCCAGTGATTCATCTCTTACACAGGACACCCAGTGCCGGACCCAAAAAGTGCCCTCCTTAATGTCCATCATCCATTTAACCCATCCCTCCAGCCACCTTCCCTCCAGCAATCCTCAGTTTGTTCTCTGTATTTAAGAGTCTCTTATGGTTTGCCTCCCTCTCTGTTTTTATCTTTTTTATATACCTTCTTTCTTGAGAATCTTATCATAAATGGATGTTGAATTTTATTAAATGCTTTTTCTGCATCTATGCACATGATCATGGGATGTTTAGCCTTCATTTTGTTAAAGTGGTGTATCATGTTGATTGATTTCACATGTTGAACCACCCTTGCATCCCTGGAATGAATCCCACTTGATGATGGCACATGATTTTTTTAACATAGTGTTGAATTCAGTGGACTTTCTGAGGATTTTTACCTAATGTTGATCAGGGATATTAGTCTGTGGTTTTTCCTTTTTGGGGATATCCTTATCTGATTTTGGTATCATGCCGACCTCGTAAAATGAGTCTGGCAGCATTTACTCCTCTTCAAGAATTTTTGGAAAAGTTTGAGAAGAACAGTTGAGGAAGGAGAGTCCCCGGGAAGGCTGAGTCCCTGGCTAAGGAGCTGTAGGTCACAGACAGATGGAGCCCTTCTCTTCCGGTGTGATTTCGATCACGGCCATTTCCAACGCCTTTGAACTGGAATTCGTTGCTGGGTTGGGCTACCATAAATTTGCACGTCCCTCTCAGGGAGACGTGGCCTTAAGAGATGACAATATTCTGTCACAGGAGGAGCCTGTAATTCATCATTGGTTTTTCCAGTTTGCGCCATCCATAGGAATTCAGGACACTGAGTTGCTGCTCTCTGAATGGAGGAACCTGCATGCTTTGGTCCTCCTGTGCCTGCCCTCCGTCCATCTATGGCCAGAACTGTGAGCACGATTTGCATAAAGAGAACTGTGAGTCTGTGCCCCGTGACACCTGGCTGCCCAAGAAATGTTCCAGGTGTAAATGCTGGCATGGGCAGCTTCACTGCTTTCCTCAGACATTTCTCCCACAGGGTGGTAAAGCACATTGTCCCCTCTTTTGCCCTTTTAGGTGGCCACGTGATGGGTGAGCACTTCCTGGTTTCCCAGACTCCAGAATCAACACCGTCTTCGGGCCCTACTTTTTTTGCTAACTGGCATCTGCCTTGCTATACAAAGTTACTGGTAATGAACGCCTGCGTGCAATATTGGTCATGCAGATTTCATGACCTGCAAAGGCTGTCCCTGCAATGTCCTAACTGAGAGATGACCATTTGTTAGTTCCTTCGAAATAGTGATCAGATTTTCATACCAGTCCCTCACATTTCCTCAAAATACCAACTACTTTCCTCTCCCTGCCCTCTCCAAAGAAACTTCTTTTAGAAAAAGTCAGCCGTATCTACGTTGTGACCAAGTTCTATGTTCCTGATACATGTATTTCTGCCAAGGGCTTCTTCTTCTTATTTTCCTTTAACACATTGAATCTGTCTTCAGATTATTCAAGACTACCCCTAAGGTGGAAGTGTGGATAAAGCTTTGAGTAGAGCTCATCAAAGTCAACTAAGTCCTCATCCTTTAAAAGAAAGTAAAGGAAGTCCCTTAAGGGAGCAAACGAGAGGACAGGGGGCAGATATTAGAGGCAAGGAACAGGATGCTGAAGTATTAGAAGTGTGTGTGTGTGTGTGTGCGCGCGCGCGCGCCAAGGAGAATAGATAGAAAAGAGGAAGCAAATGGGAGAGATGATGGAAAAAATAAAATGCATTAGTTGGTTGATCATTGGAGAGGCCTGAGGAGCAAGTTAAAAAGGTAAGTTGAAAGGCAAGTTTCTATCACGTATAGAAAGCTGTAAAGGACAAGGACGTCCTTTTTTTTTTTTT